CAAAACAACATGGTGATATGCTGCTCTCTGTTTAGTCTGCTGATTATATTGTCTGGGGTTTGCTGTTTGTTCTTGGCCTCAAAAAATGGCTATACTTCTCCTTGATAAGTGTCTTTACCCCTTGTGATATAGGAAGGAGGTCCTATTTTTCCCGTGTTCCTCTTTGGCCAGTTTGTCAGCCATCTCATTTCCTGCTATGCTACAAAGTGCTGGGTTTCTCTGTAACACAACCTGGTTGGTATCTGAGAGTTTGTTGAGTTGACAGGTCATCTTCTTTTCCGTGGTGTGGTTCTTTTTGTGCGGCTTGTAGGACTGACATGCACAAGATCACATGTCAAGCCTACAGGCGGCACCTCCATTCCATTTTTTCTGTTAGCCTAATTACTGGCATAGTTTAAAGTATTTTCATACACACCGGGGGAAGAAAAGGGGGGGGGGGGGGGAGGTGTTGATAGCTTTATAATTCAAACAAACTCAGAGATGGATATTAACTCGCTCCACAGCAATGTAGAAAGAGAAGTCTATAAGTAAGTCACAAATGGCTATGGGATGACAGGAAAATGTAGCTGGTGGTTTCTAAAGGTGTCATTAGGCGATAGCAACATCGAGCTTTATGTTTCCGTTCGTTAGATGGCGCTAGGTGTTGCATGCGCATTCGCAACACAGAAACAAAATGGCGACTGCACTTTTGGAGTGTGTCCCTCAAAGAACAACATGCTGTTGTGGTTTTCTTGGGGGGGGGGGGAGGAAGCTGCATTTAAAGGACATTCATAAGGAAATGATTCATGTAAAGGCTGACAAATGTTTATCCTGTAAAGCAGTGCATACCTGGTAAAAACAAAATTCTCAAGAACGTTTTAAAATTGTTCATGAATTCCTATCTGGTCGTCCTGTTGAGATTGCAACAGATGCATCCGGGCAGTGGGTGAAGGAGATGATTAGAGGTGACAGGCGAGTAACGGTTAACTCTGAAGCAGCTGCAGTAGGGTGTTCACATGGTTCAGCATGCAGCATAATGCTTGACAGACTGACATTTAAGAAAGTGTGTTCAAGGTGGGTACCCAGACAATTGACGGCTGGGTCGACCTGGAAGCCAGGGCCATTTTTGACAAAAGTCCGGCTCTGTTCGGATTCTAACCCGCAACCTTGGGTCCGCAGGCGAGCTTCTAACCGCTACACAGCGGCCGCTCCCACAGCCATGTACATTGTCCGACAAAAAAAAATGTTTCGCAACTGAAATCTCGGCCAACCAACCGGTCTACAGACCGCAGGTTGATGAAAATTGGTCTTTGGCACAATAATGTAAACTGATCAATTTGTGCTTCATGTTAAAAAATAGAGAATCAATACTAAATAAAAAGGAGTATGTCTAATACCCTGTCGAAGAACACTATGGCATTATAGCTAACTGTCTCGCTTACTAAAATTGAAGTCTAGCTACTCCAATGACCGAGTCCATAACCCTCGAGAACCGCGTAATCTATCTAATGGGCCCTCATTTGTAACAGGGAGACGCCATCACATGTTTGTTAGGAGGTAGGATATTGCGCACAGTAAGAATGCAACAAAATCAACAAGTCTTGGCAACCATCACTTGTTTATCAACAGGGAGATATGCGTAAATGAATAACCTAGCTATATAAATAGTATTTGATGTCAATGACGTGCCCTATCAAAGAGAATGTAGTAGTACTCGCTTTCTGAAAGATCATAGAAGGTCAGCTGCCAAACAAATGTGTATATTTAGGTGCATAATTATCTGATGTAATCGGGACGCAATTAGGAAAGTCCACGGTGAGAACCTAGACAGTAGATTAGAAAACATTTATTTCACACACACCAGAGTTTCAGTAAAAATAGTGGGTAAGAGAACAGTTGAGCAATCTTGAGTCGTCGAGACTTGGAAGAGGCAGTACTAGTCATATGGACCCTCACATGTTAGGAACAATTTTCAAGCTTTAGTCTACGAGATTTTGAAGAGAAGGGACTAGTCATATTGAACCTCACAGATCTTCAGCCTCCAGTCTACAAGACTTAGAAGAGGATGGACTAGTCATATGGACCCTTCAGTTATGATCTTCAGTTGTGGGGTTGCCAGCTCAACACTCGAAGAAGTGGAACCAGTCGCATTGAGCCTCAAAGACAGTCATTAGAGAGTAGAGATAAAACGAGCTATCGAACTACAGAAACAACAGTCAAGATGAATGGACCTATGTTCAACTGAGACACATTAGGGAAAAACACTACTAAGATGTTAGAGCCGACAATCAAACCGTTAGTACGAGACAGCAAGAGAAGCCAGGTAGCAATTAAGGCACTAACCAATAGTCTGTATTCAAGAGAATGAGATCTGTCAAACTGATGCACATGCAACACTCAGGTTCTGGAGCAGGACTGCAGTTCAATAGTGGACGAGCAACCAGAACTTTCCGCCAGAGTGTACAGCTGGTGAACGCGAAGAAGAAGAAGAGACACTAGAACTAGTTAATAAAGTAACTAGAAATGAAGAACACAACGCGATGAAGAGTATATAACTATAGAGCGAATTCAGCGGCAATTTAGAATAGCACTGATGTTATGTGTGACATTACTGAGGTATCACAATAAAGACAGTACACTGAAAAGAATAGTTGTTTCAAGACATTTTGTTATACGAGCCTCAGTGACGTGAGAAGCATGTAGCTAGAATGCGAGACGATCATCACCACTATCGACACTACCATCTTTCTCCACGTCTATTCTATTTCAACTGACTCCTCCTGTAGCAAATCAGAAGATGAACATGGGTGTGACATCAACATACACAAAGAAGACAGCTGTGTTACAAGTCTATGGGACTTAACATCCAACACAATTCTATCTACTATTTCTGAATTGTAGCCCTTGCGGTGGGGGAGTGGGAAACACACCACGTTATGGCTAACGCAGATATGGGGACGGACTATCCACCGAATAGGTGGAGCACTCCGCAACTGGGCTGAGAAGGGCACCCACTTGTCCCGACAATCGGAAATTACGGTCAAAGGTACAGGTTAAAATATTTAACCCATGTGGATGGGGAAGGCGACGGGAAACCACCACATTATATATACAAGATATCTCATGGAGAAACACCCACTGAAGCCATGCAATGAGAAGAGAGGCATTTGACAACACCGTGACAACTTGAAGGATCAGTGTAAAGAGGGATAGAGGCTGACCAAGAGAGATGATGCTGGATGGGCTGAAACGATAGCACGGAGGGATATCATCAAGAGAGAGCTGTTCCAAGCAACCAGGGATCGTGATCTGTGGACATGCATGCGCGCCTACGCCAATTGGCAAGGCACATGATGATGACAATGATGAGCCCTAGCGGTTCACATTTGTTTCGTACACACGAACCCACGAGCCGACCTTCAGACTGGGAGGCAAATAGCTTGACCATTTTACCACGGAGACCTCCATCCAGAAAAATAAAGCCTCTAAGTACTACTGACAATTTCCTCCCATTAAACTGTTGGTCATGTGATTAGGGGGAGGCCTTGGAAAATAGTATGACGACTGGGAAGATAAACGGTAGAAGAGGGAGAGGCAGACCCAGAGATGAGGAACCAAGATCTGTGGAGATGCGTGAAACGCCTACGCCAGTGATGATGATGATACTATTGCCTAGAATATGTGAAGGCCAAACGTCTCAACGGCGCTCTGTGCATCATGAAAGATGATGACTGATGGATTGCGACGGTGGCACAGAGAGAAATCGTTGGTGTAACTGATCCAGAGGACAAGGAACCAAGATCTGTGGAGATGCATGAAACGCATACGCAAGTCAGCAGGGCACGTGATGATGATGATACTATAGAATATGTGAAGACCAGACGTCTCAACGGCGCTCTATGCCACACGACTGCCAAGTTCCAGCTCAAGATGGGAAAATAGATCAACTATATTCCCCTGAGTGCGCCGACACCCCGTTACAATCGGTAGGCAGGCCAAACAGTTTATCGATGCCTCAGAGATGTGGTTTTACAGAAGAATGCTTAGAATACATTATACAGTCAAAAAAGAGCAATTAAGAGGTTTTGAAAGATGCCGGAGCCCGAAGACAACTATTCACAGACATCAGGAGACAGTCATAATTTTTCGGCCATGTTATGAGAAGAGGTAAAATAGAACAAACATGTTGTGACCACTGGAAAGATCTGTGGAAGGAGGGATAGAGAAAGACAGCGACAGAAGATTCTTGACAGTCTTGTTGCATGGCATAGAGGTGTGTCAGCGCACGAACTGATACATGGTGCAGGAGATCGCAGATTGTGGAGAGACATGATCGCCCACGCCAGTCGGCAAGGCACCTGATGACGATGATGTGCATGGCGTACATTTTCTAACTTTATAACTGTTATTCTTCCGTTAAAGTCGTCTGCTTTGTTTAGTTTCCCACTTCGACGCTTTCTGTGCCAAGGTTGAATTATTTTAATTCAGTGAGACTTTAATTTACAGACATTTCGAAGTACAAATAACACTCTCCACCAACATAGGCGGACATGAATAGATTACACATGCAACCAGGAATAGTAGTCGATGTATGTTAGGTTACTTCGATTTTTTAATCTCGCTATGAAATAGTAGTCGATGTATGTAAGGTTACTTCGATTTTTTTTTAAATCTTCCTATGGAATAGTAAATGTTTGTAAGGTTACTTCGATTTTTTAATCTCCCCAAGGAATAGTAGTCAATGTATGTAAGGTTACTTCGATTTTTTAATCTCTCTTCGGAATTGTAGTAGATGTATGTAAGGTTACTTCGATTTTTAAATCTCTCTTCGGAATAGTAGTCTATGTATGTAAGGTTATTTCGATTGTTTAATCTCTCTTCGGAACAGTTGTCGATGAATGTGAGGCTACTTCGATTTTTAAATCTCTCTTCGGAATAGTAGTCGATGTATTTAAGGTTACTTCGATTTTTTAATCTCTCTAAAGAATAGTTATCGATATATGTAAGGTTACTTCGATTTTTTAATCTCCCTTCTGAACGTTTGGTGCAGATCTTGCGGGTTTCCTGGTCAGCCAGGCAACGGTTTCACTGCCTTTAATACAGGTACCAGCCGAGACGTCACAGTGGTAGCCTTGAGGGCAGCAATGGATGTGGTCAGAGCAACACACAGCCTAGGAAAGATATGTTCAGGGTAATACAAGTAAGTGGTTAGGTATATGAGCACAATATAACATTATTATTAAATATTGGGTAATGGGGTGGGGCGGAAAGGGAGGGGGTAGAGAAGAGTAGTCTGCGCCGCTAAGTGGTTAAGCCGTTCATCTCCACCTTTAAAGGTTTTGGGTTCAAATCAAGGACTGCGTCGTTTGCTTCACAAGTGCAAGCTAATGGAAATCTTTGAGGATTATCACTGGAGCTATAGTCCGCTCTTTGTGTGGCACATTTGGCGGGTGGACGCTTGTTTTGTGGCGGGGACCGGGTCGTAAGGGATAAAACCCGGTACAATTAAGTTGATCTGCACGACTTTAAGTTCTCTTAAAAACCATAATTAAAGCAATCCCCTTAACCTTTGTTTGTACAAACAATATTAATTACTGCATATTACACACAGCCATTTTCATTACCACTCTGAATCTTTGAAAACTGGTTTATGCTTTAAAATAAATACATATATAAATAACAGCCCATTTAAGTATAATTTTCATATGTCCGTCGGCATCTTTGGATTAGGCGTTAGAACGCGCTTCGTAATGCCTAGATGCCGGGTTCGATCCCAACTGCAGGCGATTTGGCAAAAGATCACCTTGCGTTGGTTTCGGCAGTAGTACCGAGAGCCGACCGTTTAGAGGTAACGACATGTCTGCAGACTGGCGGACATTGGCAACCGTAACTTAAGCCGTCGAGGTGCGAGTTTAAACGAGAATGCTGAAAAAATGTTGGCCAGCCAGTAGAATTTAAATGATGATCATGCACAGTTACACAACTCCAGCTTATATTATGAAATAATGCTAACTTTTAAATCGACTAGTTTGTTCCCATCTCTCCCCTGGCTTCTGTCTGAAGGTTTACCACCCTGCCAGACAAGCAGATCCTAGCTATGCCGTTCAGTGTCCAAAGACGTTAGTATACTCAAAACGACTACACTAGCCTGTTCTAAAGTGTACTTCCGTGTGGGGGCTGGTAATGATTAAATAAATGTCAACTCACAACCATAACGTTTATGTATACCTCTCTCATGGGGCAACATCCATACCGACTTGGTCCGGAGTCACAACAGGTATAAATGTCCAGACAGGCAGTGCTGTTGTTACAAGATACGGTGACATTTGACGGTGTTGCTGTCAATTTCACTTGCAGTTTTATAACTGCTGTCCCTCGAAAACACGTCATAGTCGACAAGTTACATTGAAAATTAAAAGGGCAGCAGTGTGCGCCATCGGCACAACAAGTTGCCTAATGAAACATAAGAAGGGGAGGTACATCATAAAAACCGTCATAGTGTACACATCATATAAGAGTTTCACAGCGAAGGTGGTAGGCCTTTCGGAGCTCCATGTGGTGACTGTTGGAGCTACGGAAGTCGTGCAATGTGTAAGCTGGAAGGTACTGAAAATATTTGCGATAAAATGCCGAGCTACTAGGCTTTTTTTTTTTTGTAGTACGCTGTACTGGCACCTTTATAAAGCCTCATTTTTGAGTGTAATTGTAGTAGACTCATTGTGGTGAGCAGCCGCAAATTTTAATACACTTTGTGTTTAGTAATCGGCACCATATTTTTAATTGGAAAAAAAGGCCCTGTCAGGTGACATGGAATACAACCTATGGCAAGGAAGTCGATTCTCTCTGCTTTAAACAGATAATATACTCGCCATCTTGGGCTAATATTGAACACATTAATTTTACAGTGCAAAATAAAAAAAAACGTCTGTGTTTCAATTAAAATACTTACACTATTCAACGGACAACAGCCCATTTCTTCGGTCTGAGTTTTACAACATGTGGTCTCTTTAGGACAAGTGTATCTGCCACCGGGACACACAAGTGAACCTGAGGGGCAGCAGCCATAACGGTCTGATGGAAACATACAGCAAATGCTTCCTTCGGGACACAGAGAATTGTTTTTGCAGACGATTTCTTCTGCATGTTTTGCTGGAGTTTTGGTCTGCCATTCTTGTACTTTACTGCCCCAGTGGCAAATGTTGGCTGTGACATTGCACGAGTAGCCGTGTGGACAACAATGGGTGTGATCAGAACAACATGTGGCCTGTGTAACAAAGTGGAATTATGAAACTTCCTGGGGAGCGATCATTGTGGGGACTCAGACTCCGTGACGAAGTGGTCAAGCCGTTCACCTTGCGTTCTGAAAATCATATAATCGTTTTGTATCGACTATGACGTTCGGTTCAAGAGTTTTTTTTCTACCAAGATTCACGAGGTCGTCGTTTGAGCTAAAGAATGCATACTGTATGCAGTTCTCCAGGTAGGTGTTCTGATGCAAGAGTGAGTTATGGGAGGTAAGACTGATGTCGGTCCTCTCGACCTTTACCCCTGTAAATAAAGAAGCGTAAACTCTGAAAATGACTACCTTATCGCGCACGTGAGGGGCCATAGTTTTATTTCCCTTACTACTTCCATTGTTCTCCATAATCATGGGGATTTATAACATTCCAGGTGCCAATTCTGGAGGTTTTCCTAGCTGAGAGGAGGTACGTCGACGATCTGGACTCCTTTCGGCTTTCTCCACACTGTGTCATACTTCTACTTGAAGAGCCTCCCCTCATCTTGATTGGCTGGGTTTTACTTGCTACTTATCCATGGTTCGTTGGTTTTTGTGGCTATTATTTTTACAGGATGAGGTAGAAGGGACGTTTAACCCATGCCGATTTTCCCACCCTCACGTGTCCATCGTTGTGCTGTCTCTTCTTATACGAACCTTACCCTCCATTACCCTTCTTCCCAAACCATTACAGCATTTAATACGGCTGAAGTGAAGTCAAAGTGAAGGACCCTTTTCCATGCATTTAGACGTAATGGGCGTATAGGGCTAGAACAATATTGAATAGATCAATCGGAACTCGGTGGGTGATGTGGTCAACATCACGCCGGTCGCCTTTACTTCCCAGGAGGACTTTACCTGGTACCCATTAAGGGCTGGGAGCCAAGTTCATTGAAAAAAAAAAAAAAAAAGTTCAGTTCCGTCAGTATCTGAACCTACGACCTTCGAGGTGAACGTCTTGCAGCAACACAACGGCGCTCTCATGGTTGAAGTACATACAGTACATATAGTTTACCAGGTACATATGGTTTACGATAAACGGTATTGTTTGTGAGCGAATAAATTAGACAGTACAAATGGAAGAAAGAATGCTATATATCGTTACAGTTTGCATGTTTCAGTTCATGTTAGTCCATGTTTTAGTTCATGTTAGTCCATGTCAAAGTGGTAGATAACGATAACAGAGGGAGGACAACATTAAGAAATGGACGATAGGGAAAGGTCAGACAGTGACTGGTGCCATCGGAATTGGAACTCTTCGTTTGCTGCTGAAGATGAGGACAGAGCGCTTTTGGGAGTGTCCCGAGTGCTATGATTTGGATTCCTAATTCAACATTCAAAATTCAACAGACGAACAGCAGCCTGCCAGAGTGCGTTGCCAAGACAAGAGTTTGTTGGAGATCCATTGCAGACAACCTTCACCTGCTTTTAGTTCACATCCAGTAACTTCATTTTGAATAGACGAAATAAAAAGTTGTTACCCCGGGCATGTTGCAGCAGCCATATTCCCCAGAGGTCATTAGGCAACATGTGTTGTCATCCGGACATACCGAGCCATTTCTACAGAAAACACAATCAGATGAGACCTGTCCGAAATAAAACTGAAATGAGTTAACAACGTTCAAACGGTAGAAACTCAAGTATAATAGATTTCTGATCGACAGAAAATCTTTATTTCGGAAATGTTCGGCTTTTTGTTTTGTCTTCTCCGCAGTCTTAGTAGCAAACCAGCCTTGGAATGACTCTCATGAGTCATGAAATATGAAATGTAAAAGGGGACTGCTTAGCCTCCTTACAAAGTTTTTTCTGGGGGGGGGGGGGGGGGGCTCAGGTGGCCTGAGCTCCTAAGTTCCGGCACCTTTGATTGGCTGATGAAGGAAAAGAAAATGGTCTTTTTCACTGGCTTCTGGCATATGGTGTTAGATACCTATTTTTTTTTTATCAACCAATTGGCGAAGGATGGTTAAAACCACACCAGCTGCTTTTATTTCCCATGACCTGTCCTGGATCCTTTAGGTTTAGATCGACCTGGGAGCCATGTATCAATGATAAAAGATGAGGGTTCAAAAATCACGACCTAGGTTCAGAGCCATCTTGACAGCATTTTGGCCCCCTGGGCAAACCAGTGTGTTGGAGCCCCTACAACACCACGCTCAGGACCGAAATGTAAATCGTCCATAATATTATTTACATGGCCCTTATGCATGCGCGTTGGGCATCCCATGCAAGTGATAAGCGGGCCAATGCGTTGAGATGACAATGTCTATGTTTTGACAGGCAAGTGTTAGGCATTGTCATGAGTGCCGTCTCGGCCGATGTTCGAGGGCTAAAGTCTTGGACCTTTGCAGTACGATCCGATTCTTTCTGATTGTACTTTTGGAACAATCATCAGATCTTTTTACTGATGACGGTGGACCCCTGTAGTAAATGCTCCCATGTGGTTTTCTTTTTTATGCACTAGACTTCGCCGGTGCTTTTCCTTCTGTCATTTAGCTCAGTCTCAGCATTCGGTGTTGTTTCTTACTTTACCACCATAAACGTTATGACATTTTTAGCCAGTATTCAGTCGATTTTTGACTTGAAATTTTTGAGTTGGCAACCTAAGATGGAAAAATCTACGGTCGAGGCTGCTAGCAGAGCAAGAAGCAGAGAACCTTATTGCTCCCTCGAAATCCGAAACGGTAAGGGGAGGTGAAGAAGAATAAGAACTCTGCTCTGCTAATGTTCCGTGTTACCTGATCTCTTTCGTCATTCGCAGACATCCAAACAAATATCTCTAATTAAATCAGCAGTTTGCCCGGCTCTCTAGCGTAGTTGGCTAAACCGGATTGCGCGGAGACCGGGTGACGAACTGCCTTGTGGTCCTGGTTCACTCCCAGATTTACGGTATTTTCAATGGATTCAAGACCGAAAGGGTTAACAACTTATGGCTTCTGGATACTAATACAAACAAAACAACAAATCAGCAGTTTCATGTACATAATATATTCCTCCGAGGGTTGTGACGGAATTAAGTTTTATGATTAAATCAAAGGTTTATAAAACTCTTACCTGTGCAAATAATATGCACGTATACAAATAGAATGCGAACACTACAGACACCATGTTGCTTGGCCGACCTCACTTCACCAACTGCTACCGATGAAATAGTTCGCCACAATGTATCGCACTTCGGTAATCAATCATTACTAATTAACCTATTCTTTAAAACTCAGCTTTCTGCTCCACTCTGCTCACTTCACTTCGTGCCTTCCAATTAACCAAGGCTCAAATAAATTAACATATTGACGAGTTTTGTTTTATCAGCAACAACAACAAAAATTAAGCGCTCGTTAACAGTGAGACTAGCATAAGAACGTTACTGGTGCGACACGGTCAACACTGCAGGTGTGAGATGTTAGGCAATTATTGTGAGCAGAATGAATTTTTACGAAAATTTCAGGCAGAAATTTTCTTATTCTTTTGCTGATGGTATGTTGTGTTGTAGTTTACAGCTAACCTGCAATATCTGTATGGGGAAAACCAGACATTAAAAAAAAAAAAAATGTACATACACGTATTATTCAGTACCACAGTAACAATGTGTTTACCTAAACGATTCCTCCCCCCAACCCCCCCCCTCTCTCGTTTTTCTGGGAGTTGAGTCAAGAATCGACACAGCACTCTGGGCATTCCCATGCCTGCTCAGTCCTCATTTTCAGCAGCTAGCACAGAGTTCCAATACTGATGGTACCAGTCACAATCTGGTTATATGTCCATCTTGCCTTTCCTCTGAGTGTAGTGAGTTGGCCAGACCCTCTGGTTACACACAGGTGGCTCATTCTCTCCAGGCCATAATAATCTTGTTTCTCTACTGATGCTGTTACTTGTTCCCAAAGGGCCTTGATCACATCAACTGTTGGACTTCCACCTATGTAGCACCCGCTGGCCACTCTCTGCACTCCCGGCCCAATGTGATCATAACCCTACACAGGTCAGACTTTTCCTCTGGTACTTTGACTCGTTTTTCTGGGGGTGTTAACATAATGTTATCAATTAAAACTGCTATCGTCATCATCATCCAGTTCTTTGCCGACCAGCATAGACGATCACGCCTCTCCACAATCTGCAATTTTCAATAGTATGTATCAGTTAATATGCTGACACTCAGCCATGACAAAAGGCTTGCAAGAATCGTCTCATTTTTGCATTTCCTCCGTATTTTTTCCTCAAAATTTTTCCAGAGATCATCACACACAGAAGTTACCTTCTTCTTTTAACGTGACTAAAAAATGATGACTGTCTCTGATCTTTATGCTGTCTTCGAGCCCATGCTTCTTTCAGAACCCCTGGGCTGCTCTTTTTTGGAGGTCTGAGGAATTAATTCTAAGGATTCTTCTGTAAAACCATATCTCCGAGGCTCAAGAGATTCTGTGGTTTGTTTAATAATTGTCCATGATTGACAGCCATAAGTTAAAGTTGGCTCTATAAAGCATGCCAGAATGCTTTTCCTAACCTCAAAGGACACAGATTTATTGCAAAAAAAATAATTAAAATTTTAAAAACTGCAATTTAAGGCTGTCATACTGTACTTTGTACTTTATCTCTGTCGGATGTTATCATCATGTCTAGATACTTAAATTTCTCTACTGCTATACTTATTCAGCTGCCGCTCAAGTTCAACAGCAAACTATAATAATTTATAACAGTCACCTGTATAAGGCAAGTGAGCTGGGGTTTAGACTGAATGCTGCCGCCCCTCTGTGCAGTGAGCTGCATTATGATAAAGAGAACATGGTTCTTGAGTGTCGAGTGAACAATGCAACAGAATGGACACAGCATTCATATCTGGAGAGAATAATTCAGCTGGGAGTGAACGAAGGGACTGAACAATTTTCTACCCTTTTAATAAGGTTGCAACAGGCAGAATGGGTACCCTTCATTGGCTACTGGGGGGAGGGGGGGGGGGGGAGTTGAGGGTGGTGAAATGTCCCAAGTGCAGTAATGTCAATTATACATGAATTCATTCACTCTTTCATTCCCAGCGTTTGTAATTTTATCATTCAATTCCTTTTATATGCACAAAACCAGTTCACTGTTATTATTAACTGTTTATTGTTTTTTTTACATTTCTGATAACTATAACAATGCAATTGTATGATACAAGAGTTAACACTGGATATATCTAGAATTATACAATTAAATCAGTAAACTCATGATATGTAAATATACTTTTTAACATCACTTGCTAGGCACACTTGATTGGTTTGTAAAATATAGGTCTAACCCTTTATGCCCAATATGCCTAATTCCTGGAAAAAGGTCCTTTACTTATTTACTTACTTACTGGGCACATTATTTAACGCAGAATACTTGTATAAAATGTAGCAACGGGGTAAGTATCCTTCTTCACGGTGCAACAGACAAGAGCAAATACTTACTTAAAAACATTAAAAGAATAAAAAGGTAGTATCATTGGCATCTTTCCGTCTTTCCAGATGATAGTGTTATATTGCGTTATGAGGAGGCATGAGACTCACAGCCCATGGCGATGACGAGTATGACTAGCAAGACCCACCCGTGTCAAGAAAAGTCTTCCACAATGATAGCATGGGATTTCAGGACCATTGTTAACAACTTTTGTATTTAATCCGTTTCTTTTCAGATGCTCAGCTCTCATCCTTTTTGCAATCATTTCTTCCTTCAGTCTCATTCCCTTCCTGATATGCCCTTTCCACACAACACGGTCCATGGCATTTTGTTCCTATGAGTCCGCCTCAATACCTGTATCATCCATGTCCCGCTTGCATACATCTTTGTAACGTAGTAGAGGTGGGCCTCGACATCTTCTTCCTGTCTTTAACTCATCATAAAGGATGTCCTTAGGGACTCTGCCATCCTCCATTCTCCAGGTGTGACCCAGCCACCTGAGCCTTCGTAGGCTGAACATGGAAAAGACTGTTGTAGTACTTGCTCTTTTCAGTACCTCAGTGTTTGTGATTTTGTCCTGCAACTTAAAGCCAAGTATTCTTCTTAGGCATTGCATGTGAAAGCTATTAACCCGTCTCTCTTGGTGCAAATAGGTTGACCAAGTTTCACTGCCATAAAGCAGAGTGCTGAGAACACAAGCCTGATATACAAGGGTTTTTGTTTTATTTGTGAGCTTTCTGTTCTCCCAAACTCTCTTTGTCAATCTGCTCATTGTTGTTGCTGCCTTACCTATCCTGTTGTTGATTTCTTGGTCCAGCGATAGTTTACTATTCACTGTGGAACCCAGATAGGTAAAAGGTAGTATATGGTGTTTGTATTCACTGTTTTCGTTAGGCGCTCAGCATACCCTATTTCTTATATATTATACTGCTTTATTTTGCTGCAGCCACTAATAAGCATACTCACGTTTTCACTGGACATATTGGTAATATTTTATAGAGGAATTTTTAGGACATACTGGTAATTTTTGTGTAAGTAATTTTCATTGGAGCAGTATAATTTTTTTCTTCTTTCTTCTTCTTTGCGTTCACCAGCTGTAAACTGATGGAAAGTCCTAGTTGTTTGTCCACTTATGGACTGCAGTCTTTTCCAGAACCTGAGTGTTGTGTGTGCATCTGTTTGACAGATCTGACACATTTGTGTGCAGACTGTTAGTTCCTTGCCTCTAAGTGAAATGGACTCTGACTTCAAAGAAAGCTCCCAATTAGTCAACTCTTACGACATGCTTTTAGGTCAGCAGTGTGTCTATTCTTGTTTTCTCTTTAATAGAGCCCCGGAACCCACACGGGGAAGTATATTTTTTTAAAGTTTAAAAAAAAAAAAAACTCCCAGTTAAAACCTGCCTTAAATGGGTACCAGGTAAAGTCCTGGGAAGTAAAGATGGCCCGCATGATGTTAACAGTATCACCCTTCAATTTGTCTATAAAAAACATGAGCCTAGCCTCATATGCCCGCTGTGTCTTAAAGGGACTTTTACTTACTTTACTACTCAGTATTTGTGTAAAACTTCAATATCATACATTCTGACTAGAATAACAATAATGACCAAAAAGTTATTTTATTTTAACTACTGTATTTTTTCTTAACCATTCTGTTTTCTTGGCTCTAAAGGTTAATTTTAAATCCCTCAAGGAAACAAATGACTGGCAATTATGATTCAGTAATAGTTATTCTTCTTTTATTATATTAAATTATGTTCATTTGTTGCTAATAAATGTTTTTATGTTTTTTATTTAAGTGGATGTTTAGTCACTTATCTCCAACATGACAAACAGTTAAACAATAATTTATGCCTTGCGAGACTATAAAATAATTAAACAAAAATCTGTTGAAATCTCTAAGGATAACAAATGTTGCGAAAAGTAGCTTTAACAGCAAAATTCATACTAAAAATATGTATTGTGGAACAGTCAGTATTAGTAGGAAAATACATTCTGAGATCAAAAACATCAGATCCAGGAATTTATGTTACACACTACAAATTCTTCATTAAACTTTTCAAGATAACAAAATGCTTCAAGTGGTCAAGAAAAAATATATTTTACAATATAATTTTAATTTATCACATACATACAATGTATAATACAATGAAAGATGCTACACCAAACTGAAATCCTCTAAAGGTATAGGAAAAAAGTGGATTCTGAATACAAATGACACCTTCAACCATTTTAAGTGGAAGTGAAGGCTTGGAAACCGAAAGCATTCAGTCAGGAAAAGTAGTCAGTGTATGTAAGGTTATTGTAATGTCTAAATATCTCATTTGTTAAACATTTTGTGCAGATCTCGACGGTTTCCCAGTTAGCCAGGCAAGGACCTCACTGCCTTTATTACAGGTGCCAGATAAGACGTCACACTGGTAGCCTTGGGGACAACAATGAGTGTGGTCAGAGCAACACACTGCCTACAAATAAAAAACAATTTTGTTAAAAAGAATGTCCAGTTATATGAACTCAGTATGACATACAAGCTAACTTATTATGTACGAAGCAGCCAACTACTCGAAGTATAGCAACTTAGAGCCAAACCAATTGGACTACATGTTTTTCGTAACCGTATTGTGGTGCCCCAATATAAGTCCTAAATGGCCGTACAGTTAAACAGGTTTTCCGTGAAATGTACCTGCTTGATGTTAATCTTATGGACTGCAACTTGGAGATAAAAAACTTATTTAAAACTGATTTATTCTGATTTTTATTACTTATTCTGTATTATTTTATTGGTTTGTTTCTGAGGCTGTTCACAGGTACTACACAACAATACTCTGCAACAGATAATAAAAAATATGTGAATGTATTAGTCTAGAAAGAAAATTTTGAAATTTCCTTAAAGGGCGACACTTGCAGTGGATGTGTGCATCCACTGCTGAATATTACATAACGAGGCATTAATCATTTCCACAGTCATTTCACTGTCCAAAAGTCACAATAACAGGTTTTTTTCTCTAAACTGTGGGAATCGAACTCTGCTATGTCAGGACTGAATTACACGTCTTTTTTTTTTTTTTTTTTTTTTTAAACAGTATTTTTCTTTTTTTTTCATGGTTGGCATGTTGCTTGTGATATCGGTACATTTCTGCCCTGCCCAATACATCCGATTTCAGCAAGTCCTTTATTAGTTACCTTTTACAGTTGCTTGTTAGGGAAAAGTTGGTCCCCCCCCCCCCCCCCCCTCCCAATATAGAACCCTGGAACCCATAGAAGGATATAACAATATTTCTTTGTGACCATGAAGTGGAGAAATAACGTAAAATGATCACATTTCTCATCATATATTGAAATAATTAGATATGGCACAAATCTGCAAGTGAAAACTGACAAATAAGTAACATACATTATTCTCACAAAACAATTAAACTGATAAAATTGGTGAGAACAAAGGAAAGAAAAAACTTATTCCATACCAGAAAGAGAAAGAACAAACAAGGCTAAGCTCTTCTGTAGCAAGCACGCTAAAATATACACTTCTATCATCAAAAGTCGTCCTCATGTGGGATGTATTTTTTTGTTATTTCAAGCCCCACCCTGGCTTTTGCTGGGGGCCCTGAATATAGCCGGGCCATAAATATCTCCAAACGGCTGAAAGAGGTTTCTGGGACCTCTGCCCGGGTGATCCTCATCTGCATGGTGGCACTGTGTGTCACCAAGTGTTTATCGCTTGTGTGATGTCCTGGTGGGGTATAACTACCTACCTACCTACCTAAAATATTCACTAACAAGAAAGAATACACACAGATAGATTTCAAACTTTCATTATGAATTTGAAGCTTAAATATATGTTTTCATGACAAAATTAGACTTTATAAAGGTGGGGTTTTGGCCCCATGCTTCAACCCTCAAACTGAAGGACCAGGGTGTTTCTCTTGGCTCTGTCCTTTGACCTGTCAGGCTTGGGAGGCTCTGCAGGCAGCTTGCTACTGCCAGCATAGCTTTCATTGTCATTTAGAAATACATGTAGCAATGAACCTCAAGGGCATGGAATGCTCAATGATGAAGAAGTAAAAGATAGTGAAATAAATGCCAACTAATAACCTTAATGTGTTACACCTCTTTCAGAGGGCAGCATCCATAGTGACTTGATCCTAATTCACAGCATGTGTTCCCATTTGGACACACAGTGCTGTCTTTACAGGTCACTGTAGCATTTATAGGTGTGGCTTGGAATTTCTCTGACCAGCTGATGCTGTCTTTCCCCCGAACACAAAACCCAGCTGACAAGTCACATCTGAAACCTTCAGGGCAGCAGTGGATGCCATCAGAACAGCAAGTAGCCTGTTGAAATGAAGATGGGTAAGGAACATTTTCTGTCAAAGTATACACAACATAACTGCAACTCTAGGCTAACAGATAGTAAATCTCTCAATACTGTCCCATATTTAAAACAATGTTTTCCCATGATGAATTTAAATAAGCGGACACAGATGCTACATTGCACAATTTATTTACAGGCATATTTCGCTGTATCTCGCCAGGTGTGTTACTACAGAGTTACATCAACATAAAATAAAGCACAAAACTGAATCAATCCAAGCTGAAATGTGAATAGTTTCTTTCGATACATCATGTGTTTTGGCTGCCGGAAGCTCACCATAGTCATGTGACTGCCAGTGTAACTTTCAAATTTACTGTCTGTCACATATGTTAGAGAGAATGAAAGGGAGGACAGATAGACAGACAAATAGAAATGTTCACAGAGAAAGACAGAGGAAGAGAGAACAAAAAAAGACAATTTATTTTCAAAGAGTTAAAAATTGGGCACAAATGTCCATCTTACACTCTGCTCTTTTGGCCTAACTTCATACATACATTATTCCATTTATACATTAGTATACAAATAATACATCTCATCAATATACAATTCTTAGTCACAGTTGCTGGAATATGCTCTGATGATGCCTGTTTCTAACAGTTATAATATTAAGTGTAGTAAGAGTACTAAATCTAGGGAAAAACATGATAGAGACAGACAGACAAACAGAGAGACAGTGACAGACAGAGACAGAGAGGTGTGAATTTATGTATTTACTATCCAAAAAGCACACCACTGATGTTGGATCCAAGTCTTTTCTGGCCTGCCTAGTCTCCCTTTCCCTTGTACTGATCCATGTAGTGTGGTTTTAAGCCTTGCATGTTGAACATATGTACAAGGATGACACTGGTGTTGACTCATTCAGCATCAAGCAATTTGCCACACATTCTTTTGTTTCTCCTTAATTATAATGGTTTTTCCTTAATCCATTATTCATTTGGCTGTCGCAGTAAACCAATTTTTCTCAATGATCATTTAATTCAATTTGTTCTGTTACTTTAACTCATTTTGCTCTGTAGCAATGAACTATTTCAGATCCAGACATGTTATACATTTAAAAAAAATCTTTTTTTTTTCTTTGTTTAGTGTTCACCCTTAAAGGTTGGTTGGCATATTGTGATTTACAGCTACCCTGTGATATTTGTGCCTTTCGGCCCAACACATCTGATTTCAGCAAATCTCTTTTCCTATTACATGCTTGCTAAAGAGCAATGGGCATGTTCCCCCACCCCCCCCCCCCCCCCCCCCCCCCCCCCCCCCCCCCCCCCCCCCCCCCCCCCCCCCTCATACAAGGACTTTAGGTAACACATCCTTAGGTCAGATCTAGTTAAAATACAGCTGTCTGGTGCTGATAGAAAAGAATTACTGAAAGAGGAAAAAAAAGAAATATTTTGGCCACATAAAAACCATACTGGTAAGAAAGCAAGAGGTAGACAGTGATACAAGTGGGAGGATTAAATCAAGATTTGGACAAACAGTAGTCTTAAAGAGTGTACTATCAAAATAAAAGACAGATCATTTTGGAGATCCATTGCAGCCAACCTTCACTGTGGAGAAGGCACCTGATTGATGATGTCTGGTACTGAAACAGTAAATTAAATTTTAGTTTCAATAAATCACTCACAAGCTGGTATGGACAACACCCGTAGCCTCCAGACTTCATTTTGCAACATGTAGTTCCATCAGGGCACTGTGACTTACCACCAGGGCACACAACTGAAACCAAGGGGCAGCAACCATACTGGCCTGATTCTAACTCACAACAAGTAGTTCCAGCAGGACAGTGAGAGTTGTCTTTGCAGACAAGGTCTTTCAGCAGTTTTGCTGGTGTCTTAGTTAGCCAGTCTTGTACCTTAGTACCCAATGTGCAAGTACCAGCGGTGACATTGCATTTATAGTCTTGAGGACAACAATGAGTGTGGTCTGAACAACAGGTAGCCTGCATAACAACAAAGCAACATAGTATGTTTGAAAAAAAAAATATGGAAATGACTGACTGACTTTCTACCCCACTAGGACATCACACAAGCAATAAATACCCGATGACACAAAGTGCCACCATGTGGATGAGGATCACTTTGGAAAGGTCCCAGAAACCGCATTCAGACAATTGGCCATATTTATAGCCTGTCTATATTGCGACCCCTGGCAAAAGCCAGGGTGGGGCTTCAAATTAAAAAAAATTTCATCCTAAAAAGGACGAAACTAGATGGAAATGACTAAATTTTACAAATTAATATTGCAATAACATACTTTGAGAAAAAATGGTCATCCAGTCTATTAGAAGTGAACGAAATCTAACCAGAGATGACTACCACTTACTTGACCAGGATCATACAATGACTTGGGACAGACCATAACAAATACTTAACAAGCATATGCACAGGCTTTGTCTAAGTAGTTCACAATTGTGCTCATGTAGGTTGTCTGCAAACTGCTGGACATGACCTGCAGTAATGTCCCTTGCACAACCCAGTGAGAAAGAAAATATTGATCCGGTGAATCAACAGCATACATAAAGTTGAGTGGAATTATCAGGGAACTCCCCCCCATGTACATTTTTCACAAAAACTCATCGGTGTAAATCAGAGAGTAAATACAAGAAGAAGAAGAAATGGTTATCCATACCAACACAGGCACAGTAAAACAGGGATGTCAATGTGTTAAAAGGTAAGGATGTTGTAATGAAAAGTAATTTTTTTTTAAAAACTATTTAAATGTAGGAGTCAATAGTGCCATGGACAGGCAATTGCCTGTCAGCCTGAAGATACTGGATTCAAATCTGCATCAGAGCAGATTTTTTTTTTCACAACTGACCTTGGCTCACAGGTCAACCCAACCTGATCTATAAAAAAAAAAATAGGAGTCTATGATCATATGCCTGATCAAGGCATTAAAAAAAGGTCCTTTATTAAATAAGTTAGTCAGTTAGTTGACAGATTATCCTCACTGCACATAAAACCATTCTTTCTTTTCTTTGCTTTTACTATATGTAATGGTAAAATAGAAGTATAGTAAAAGTCCTTCACTTTTACTATACAGTAAAACCTCATTAACACAAACTCACTCAAGAAGAACACTTGGTTAACGTGAACAAAACTGTTGGTCCCAGCAGGGATTTACTATTATTGTTCTCCCATTACCACAATTATTTTTCAACACGCTTGATTTTTCAGTTTTTTGAAATTTATATTAATTAGGTTTTACTGTATTTCAGTTTAACTAAACCTCTTCCATTCTGCATATGGTAGAGATGTCAATACTTATTTCATCTTCTGCTTATAGTCAGTCCACTTCATGTAGAGTTGGTTATCATGTCTGCCCACAGCCCTCTGTATCATGTAGTGTCATTTCTGGTTCAGATATTCTTCCACACCAGGATGCCAAACCATCTAGCACTCTCTCTCTTGGTCTCCATCTGCCTCTCTTCCCTTCCATCTTTCCTGTTGTCACAATGTACTCAATTTTCTCCTTCTAATAATGTGACAATAGATTATAGATTGTTTTCTTCTGATGCCATTTTTATGGAGATTCCATGCAGTTTTGTGCGACACTATTGGCAGACAGCTTGCGGTTCTGTGGAGAGAAACAGGGCCTTGCGGGACATAAAACTGCACTATATTTCAGTATATTTGTTCTTTGCTTAGATGAATTTCAAATCAAGTTATCAGTGTTTAAACAAATGAAATGTTTTAACTTTTCATATCTAACCTCTGGCAAGGGACAACAGCCATAATCCCCTGTAGACAACTGGCAACATGTGTTGTCATCTGGACATACAGCAGCGCCACCTGGGCATATAACATCACCAGATGAAACCTAGTTAAAATCAGATTGAACAGCCATTATTCTAGATATTCCATAATGAATGATGATAACACAAGAAAAACAGAAAGAAAAAAAAAAAATAATAAGACAGGAATGGCCAAAAATATTTTCTACAACATGCTGATATTTTTGCCATCTAGATATCAATGACACTTTAAAAATGATAACTGTCAACTTTTATGAATGCTCAACCATACTTTATGGCAAGCGTGTATACATAGAGTAAACATTGGGGAAAAGAGGGGGTGGGGAGCTCAGATAACCCCAGCCTCTCTTCCCTTACACATTTTCTAGGCAAAAATGGGTGTTAAAAAAAAAGGGTGACCCGGGAAAGGGGGGTGGGGGGGGGTCTTAAAAAGGATCCCTCCCCCCCCCCAAAAAAAAACTGAGGATATGGTCAAGGATGGGGGGGGGGGGGGGGGGGGGAGGGGTAACTAAGGGGGCTGACAGCACCTGTTAACTATACATATAAATTATCTTTAGAAATTTTTTTTATACATTTCGTATTACTTCAAGTACACTATTATCTTTAATTGAGATTCAAATTATTATAATCAAAGACTGATAAGTTTCCTATCAAAACTATCAGCAAATGTCATTTGGAAATACATACATTTGACCTAAAGCTCCTAAATTAGGTATCGCTTTGGATATTAAAAACATATATAAATAAATTTACTGTATTCTTATTCATACATATTTACATTTAAGACAATTTTTTTTTGGGGGGGGGCCACAGTACCATTTTACATTGATCACAAAAATGTTTTCTATAAAAAAAAGTACTAAGGTCACCTTCATTTTTATCAGGTATAATGCAGACAACAAGAGTTGTCTCTTCCAAGTGTTTATCTCTTAGTGATCTACAGCTATGATTACTTCATGCCCATAAGTGCAGTGTTACAAAAATTAATAAATGATTATAGATCCTCAGACTATGTATTACCAGTTCACAAGTATTTATTTACATAGCACTGTAGGTATACTTACTTACTTATTATCTTTTGTAGGCACACGGCTAATGAATTCTGACTAAACACCTAGTGAGTAATACTCATCAAGCGTAGGCTTAAAAATGAACATATGGTTGAAACGCTTATTTCAGTACCCATAAAGTCTTCATTTGCCTGTCTATTGTACTATAGTGTTAGTAGACTTCTTCATTTTTTTCATTAACCAGTAGCCACTCAATGGGTGATGTAGTCAACATGACACTGACCACTTTTACTTCCCATGACTTGAGATGGTATACATTTAATACTGTTGACATAATAACGCATATTTTTATTAGTTGACTGGAAAGACTGTATACCTAAAAACTCTTAATGACTCAGACACAACAGAACTGTCAACTGACTGGTTGAACCCTAATATATTCTCGTGTGCAATTTGAACAATTTCACTCACTAAATCACAAAGATTTTGAGTATCAAAGTTAGATAAATTTATGTTAATTTTAGTACCTGTGGTTTTTTCTTCTAAATAGTATATATTGAGTCAACCTGGGAGCCAAGGTTATTTATCAGAAATCTGAATCGGACTCTACTTAGTTAATCAACTGCATGCATGCACACGCGTGCACACGCACACAAAACACAGGCCAAAAGTGCGCCAATTCCTTCCTCAGTGCATCCCCAATCATGTAATAGTTGCCAGTTGCACTTTTGTGATGGTTTATGATTATTCTTTGGCTTCCTGTCTTGTATTTTTTTCTGGCCTCACTCCTTTTGACTTAAATTTCTTGCAGTCTGGTCAAGGTTGCAGATTCACTCATTGCTTGATTTGCACCAACTTACAGAGTTGCAGAATATGAGCCTGGTCCAGTGATCATCTGCCCTCCACTGTAGCTGTGTACATAAGCCTATCAGCTTTTCCATTCGCTCTTACACCTGCACTGTTGTAGCCATCTAGACTACCTATGGTCTAAATTTGGTTGTGTGATTATCTAATGATTTAGACACAGAAATTGTAGTCAGTCGTAGTTATATATGACAGAACTATGGTATAACAGTAAACAGTACTACCTGTCTTCTGTTAACACTGAATATCGTACAGCGTTTACCAAACCTGACATTCCACATTGTGCCAACGGCTTTGGAGAGAAGTGTGCAGTGGTGAAGATATCAGCATTATCCTAGGAAGAGGAAATGTGACCTGAAAACTTGTCATGGCAGGGCATGCCAGGTCCTTAGCCTTGGCTAGCAGTTGTCTAGGAGGTAAGCTTCGACAGGCAGACAGATGGCTGCTCCTCTGCTCTGGCAGCTTCTGCAGTGTGTTTTGTCTGAAACGTACTGGGGTTACCTTTCATTTTAAATAAACAAGGCAGGCCAAGTGAGGCATGGGCAACATATGTTCTCTACAATACTGCCCAGGATTTTTGCTAAGGAGAGAAGGAACTGCATCACAGGCGGGTCTTGCTAGTCACATTTGCCATTGCCATGGGCTGCCAGCCCCATGCTTTATGCTCCATTCGAGAACAATATAATACTATCCCTGAAAAGACAGAAATGTCCTAACACACCTGCATGCCCTGACACAACAATAACATTGAAATTTGTCAGTCATGACAGCCTCAAAGACGCTGACTTAAGATGGAATTTGTTTAAAGTAGTAAACCTTAGACTTCTTGTGTGAGTAAGTGAGTCTGGCATACCCTTTTTAAAACAGGACCAAAGAATAATAATTATCTGGTATTTTCATACACATGTGCCGTGGCTTAGAAGTTCTGAAAGTAGTTAAATGATTATGATGTACCAGGTCAAAGTCAGCTGCAGCTGATTTGGTAGCAGACTGCTTTGCATTCATTCAACAACTGTGTGAGTGTCAACCATGAAAAGCCAACAAATGCTGGAACTGGTCTGTGCATGCTGATTAGGGTGACCTCCCTTACCTCAGAACATACTTTGATATACATTTTAGAGGGGGTTGTGTGGATACCCAGTTTAATTTGTTTGTTTTAAATCCATGCCTTTTATTTCAAACATCTCTCACTCCTTCCCCATCCTCCCCCCCTCTCTCTCTCTCTTTCCCACACAATGTTTCTATTATTCTGATTCAAAGTTCTTATTGTAGCACTGATAAAACACACATACATCATAATTTGTTGTATTATATTTATTATCACTAATTTTTGTCAGTAAAGGTCCCTTTACACACCAGTGGCACATAGGGCATATAAGGCTAGACTCATATTTTGATAGACCAATCGGCTCCTGATGGGTGATGTGGTCAACATCACATAGGCAGTCTTTACTTCCCATGACTTTACTTGGTAGCCATTTAAGGTTGAGTCAACTGGGGAGCCACAGTTGTGTCTGAGGAAAACCTGGCTAGATGAGGATTTGAGCCCATGACCTTTAGATCTGCATAGGAGCCTCTAGCTGCTACACCATTGAAAGCTACTAATTTTTTTTTAAATTAATAATATCAGTTTTAAATTCACTACAATATCACACAAAATTTACAATGATTTACAATGACAGAAACATCACAACACTTACACACAAACCCGTGACACTAAACAAAGGTTTTAAGGTATATTTATTATGTACAACTGCAAAGAAATACAAAACAATGTAGAAATAATTAACATCATGTACCCCCAAAAAAATTTATTTTTTCTGGTTAACAATAGCTGAGCATTTAAACAAACTGAATAAAATTTACTAAGCAATTATAATTCTTCTTGGAAGTACAACCAAGATTAATCTTACTGCTCTAATAAATTGGGAGTCACCGTGGCTGAGCGGCTAGACACTCGCTGCGGATTGGAAGGTGGTGGGTTCGCTACGTGGTGGAGCCTGACTTTAAAAAAAAAATTACCTTGGCTCCCAGGTCCACCCAGCCTTGAGTAGATACTGGGTGAAGTCCTAGGAAGCAAAGGTGGGCGGCGTGATGCTGACCACATCACCCATCTTGTGCCGATTGGTCTATAAAAATATAGGTCTAGCCCTATATGCCTAATGGCGTGGAAAGGGTCCTTTACTTTTTACTTTTACTTACTAATAAATCAGTACTGAGTATCAATCCACACCAAGCCTATCACCATAAGCTGATCAATGCTACACCAATCACCCAACACAGACAACATTAACATATAATGTCACTAAGCAGGAAAGTAATTATAACATGCATAATTAAGCAAAGTTGAGGACTACAGTGATTTGTTATGAAATTACATTGGAAAATATAGGCTCTAATAGTTGTAATTGCTTTAATAATTGTTACTTTTAATTACAAACTATACTTTTATACAGAAATATATATTTTACATAACACTAAAAGAAAAATTCACAACAAAATAGTAATTATATTCCCTGTGTGCGTTCCGGGGTCTATTATGGGGGTTAGGGGAGAATAAAGAATAGACTCACTTCCCCCTAATACACATGTAATAAACGTGACTAATCAAAGACTTGCTAAAATCATACGTGTTGGGAGGATACTGTAGCCTAGCTGTAAACCACAACACAAAGTGCCAACAACTCTTTTAAATGAAGAGGTGAATAAAGAACTACACATTTGATAAATACATATTCAATGTTTTCTTCAGATCCAGTCATTACTGGTACCTAACTTTGTCCGAATGACATTCAATGTTCCTATTCTAGATGTTGCCTTGAACCAGACACTAGACATTACCTCCCCGACGCTGGGTTACCTTAAAACCACCACACATTACCTCCATCTGACTCTGAGTTACCTTAAAACCACCTCCGCCTGACTCTGAGTTACCTTAAACCCACCTCCGCACATTACCTCTGCCTGACTCTGCGTTACCTTAAACCCACCTCAACCTGACTGTGAATTACTTTCAATTGTCCATCACAGATGTTATCTTAACTCTGCTATCAGACATGACACTACTCATGTGGGGTTCCAGGGTCCGATTTTGAGGGGTGAGAGGAAGGGGGGGAGGAATAGACCCACTGCTCCCCTAATAAGTATGTTGTAAAAGTTGGCTAATCAGGAATGTTTCCTTCGGAGGCAGCCAGATCTGTCTACTGCATGCAGAGAGCGTATCTGTAGCACACGTTCAGTATTCTGTGATTTCAGACACTGGCATTTCAGGGAGGAACTGCATGGTGCCATAGTTTTGAGGTTCACTTTGATATCTTACTAGTCTATCTGCACCTTTCAGCTCGGCACTTTCCAACTTTAGCGTGCTTTTCTGTTAGGATGAGCTTCTTTAGATGGATATCTGTGCCCAGCTGAGTGACTCCATCTACCCGGGGTATTACTCTCATTCTATTCATGAGTGCAATATTTTCTCAGATCCCCAGGGATTGTCACTGGAGCAATGGAGTGAAATTAAGTTTCATTTGATAATCGCCATCATCAAATGCTTTGCCAGCTGGCATTAAAAATCCTGCCTCTCCAGAACTTACAATCTCAAATCTGATATTAGCGCTTATATACGCCTTAAGAATGTTCCTCTTTTTTTAATGGCACATTATATAAAATATAATAAAAACACAACAATTAAAATCCAGGCAATAAAAGCTGTTGACAGCAACACCACTATTTACAACAACAACACAAAAAACACTGTTTCTCTCCTAATTTATTGAAAGAAAAAAATTATATAAAATGGCTTGCTGTTAAAAATGTGTTATCTTGTACTGTTAATTTTGGTTTAGCACATGCAGGTGATCAAGCAAATGAAACACAAATCAGAAAATTGAGCAATATTAATATGATTAAAATTACACCCATTAATAAACATAGTTTGTACTGATATATTGGCTTTAAACCCTAGAAATAAAACAAATGCTCCACTCCCGTCCATATTGCACATTTTACCCAGGTTAATTTAATTCAGCTTGTCCTGCTCTCCATGGGCACTAACTCATGAAATCAAAGACAGGAAATTATTCTCCATTTGATACCCTTTTCTGCAAGAAGCCACGGTCTGCCAAAATCCAATTCTCTGCTTCTAACTGATCTTTATTCTGCCTATAACACTGCCTTTTAATCATATCACAGTAAGTATTTGGAGGACAGCAGTGTTGACCATCCTGGCAGCACACACCCTAAAGAAATAACCAATCAGTAAAATATACAAACTAAAAATACCATCATAAGGATCTATATAAATCATTATATACAATGCTAATAAGAGTACTTTCCATCCTTTTTAGGATGAAATTTTTCGTTATTTGAAGCCCTTCTCTGTCTCTTGCCAGGGGCCACAATATAGCCTGGTCATAAATATGGCCTAATGGCTGAACGTGGTTTCTGGGACCTCTCCAGGGTGATCCTCATCCACATGGTGGCACATTGTATCATCGGGTGTTTATCCCTTGTGTGATGTCCTGGTGGGGTAGAAAGTCAGTCAGTCACACAATGCTAATAATATTTTATTTGTTCATCCGAGGACATCAATGTGTTGTGCTGGTCTATAACTTAAAAAAAGTGAGTTGTGTATCCTTTACAGTACAATGCAGAACCAACCCCAGCATTTTTTGGCTATTGTGGTTTTTCTAGGCAAATTTAAGTCCAGTAGTTTGTCATTGCTTTCTAGACGGTTGGCTTCTCGATACCACTGCCGAAACTAGCGCAAGGCCTGCAGCTGGGATCGAACCAGACACCTAGGCATTAAGAAGCTCATTCGTAATGCCTAAGCCACAGATGCTGACTGGTCTATAGCACAGCTCTGATTTTGGTGCTTTTCTACCAACACATCCGACATCTGCATGCATTTGTTGCCTGGGTTAACCTTCCAAGGCTGTATATCATAAGCTTGCTAAGAAAATGTCTGTTCAACTCTAAAAAGTAAAGGTTCATTTGCCACACCTTAAGGCGAATTGGCTATATAGGGCTAGACCTATATTTAATAGACCGGGCCGCACAAAAATAGTGTATCGTCAGTTTTTAACTTTCTTATCTGCATAATGTTTAAAGCACACTGATTTTTTAATTCTGTTATTTAACTGGTTAAGCACATATTTTGCTAAAGCAATGTTGATGTGTATGTTACAGAGTCAACATAGAGTTCATTTCGTCTGTTCTCTCCCCCCATCTCCCTCCCAACCCACTTCAAAATGGAATCTGCATAGGGATTGGGTATCTAAAATAGGGGCTGACTGCTGTCTGGTTGATGATTAACACCATATGATACCTCACTGACCCTTAATAAGCATGTCGTAATGGTTAACTAATTAAGGTTTTACTTAAACTGGATTATATGCCTGAAAGGCACAGATATTGCAGCCTAGTTGTAAACCACTACACAGCATGCCAACAGTCATTTGAAGGGCGAATAAAGAAGAAGAGGGAGCAGACTATAAGAAGAAGAATTTTACTTCTGACAAATGAGTAAGTTTATCATAGCCAATGTTGTACTATTTAAAAATTATTCTGTGTATATTTTTTTCTTAAAAGAGGACTTTAGTGAGGTGCATACCAGTCACTGCAATGAATTAGAATTTGGAGTAGGGCAGAAAACAACAGATCTACATCTAGCCGCAGATAAACATGTCTTGCATGAAGCCCTAGACATAGCTGGAGGTCACAGACTGAAAGGAGATGGTGTTAGATGGTGCAAGCTGAATACACAATTAGACGTTTGTAACAAATGGCGAAGACAGGAGTGGGTCAAAATATTTCATTAAAAGTCAAACTTGTGTAGGGTTCTGATTATACCAGGCCATGAGTGCAGGGACTGACCAGAGGGCGCTGCAGAATCAGAAGTTTGACAATTAATGACACTTCTCACCCAGGTGATGTGATAATCTATACAGATGGCTCTGTGTTGAGAGCCAGATTAAGCTCTGGGGGTTCTTAGGAAAAGTGAATGGACGTCGCTTAGTAGAACAATGGCCGGCATATGACACCACATCTAGTTTGAGAATGGAGATGAAGGTAGCCAATGTAGCCTTTCGCTGGCTTGAGAATCAGCTGTACACATACGTCGTAAATGTAACTGACTCATAGATCATGCCGAGAAAGATAAAGACTGGTATGCTCAGTGAAGAGTGGCAAGCATCACTTCAGTAGTCCTGGGTAGTTAGCATTCTTTGGATACATTCCTCAGGATATGCCAGTATATTAGGAAATGAACAGGCTAATAGACTAGCTGGTACTGCACAACTTGATGATTAACGTAGTATGCCACTGCTTTGTGGATGGCTTGGCTTCTCCAAACCACTGTCAAAACCAGCGCAAGGCCCACAGCAGGGATCGAACTCGGAATCCCGGCATTACGAACCGCATTTGCAGCGATGTCTGTAGGGATGACGCAAATAACTCATAAGGACTGGCTGCTGACCATGTCTTTAAAGTTACTTTGTTTAAATTAACGTTTATGATAAAATATGGTTTTTCAGTGCACAATGCAAAAACTCAGTAAATAATACCACTACTTACCCTTTGAATGGGACAGCAAGAAAATGTCTTTGAAGCCCCAGGACAACAAGTGTAGTTGTTGGAACAAGAGTATGTGGAGTTAACACACAGAATATTTGGTGATCTATCATAGCTGGGCTGTGCAGAAATAAGCATGCAATGACACTGAAATTTGTCTGCTAAAAGCTTGAAGTAAAGAAAACAAAAACTGCTAGAAAATAAAATGTGCAAAGCAATGATCAATAACTGCAAGTCAAGCAAAATAAATGCAAAACTATTTAACAATCATGCACATAAATAAGACACTGTAGCTATGTATCTAAAAATCTTCTTATTGGATGCTGGTAAAAAACACATATGACTGTATGGAAATAAGGATGCCTTATAAGTGTAAACAAAATTGCTTATTTAAGAAACCAGTATAGAGATTATCATATTCATTGATACAGACTTCTTCCAGTAAATTATGATATAGTAGCACATTTTGGTTCAAATCCTCTTTAAGACAGCATTTTTTCTAAATGTTGAATTAAGAATCAAAATCACAGCACTCGGGACACCCCCCATAAGCGCTCCATCCCCATCTTAAGCAGCAAGCAAAGAGTTAAAATTTCGATGGTACCAGTAACTGTACATCCGTCTCGCCTTTCCCCTGAGTGCCGAGTGACGGCCAGATCCCTTTGTAACTCCTCGCAGTGCCATTCTCATCAGATTGTAATGATCTATCTGTTCCTCGACACTGTTAACTTGCTCCCAAAGGGCTCTCACAACATCCAGCTTGTCATATATCAGTTCACCACCAAGTGGTGCAGAACTGGCCCATCTATCTGCCTGCTCATTTCCCAACACACAGGTGTGACCTGGAGAAAATATCCAAAGGATTCTAACTACCCAGTACCTCTGAAGTGATGCTTGCTACTCTGCACGGAGAATGGATGTTCCCACCTTTCTCAGCATGCTCTGTAAGTCAGTTACAATGATGACATGTGTGTACAGCTGATTCTCAAGCTAGCGGAAGGCAGCAGTGATGGCCTCCACCTCCATTCTCAAACTAGACGTGATATTTTTTCTAAAAAAATTTTGCCAGGGTCAACCCTGCTTGATTAAAATGGTCATCGCATTTTCTGGAGAAATAAAGGTGCGCAGATGAAATGTGACAGTGACCACATTACCCACTGGTTTAAAAATGTAGGCCTAGTACAATAAAAATGTCATGTCATATGGACTTTTTTCTTTTTGTTTTAAATCTTTGATAGTAATAACTGTAGTTTTAATCTGAAAGCCACGATTACAGTGAAGACCTTAACAAATTACCCCAAAACGTTTTGAATTGCATACCCTTGCCTTCTCAATCACATGACTTGCACTCTCTCACCCTTAAATACACACATACGAAAGATATTTTTGGTATTAAGTCTGCTGCAAATTACAAGGCCCCCCGCCCCTCTCTCCCCCATAGGCCAATTGGTCTATCCCCCGCTCCCCTCCCCCACACATACCCTCACACACACAACAGGGCCCCATAACCCACACAGGGAACATATTCTGAGTCTGATGAACTTTACTGTATTGTCAAACTTTAAGAAACTATGATGCAGGCTATGAACATGACAACCCAGGTTAATGCAACAATTAAATTTACAATTGCATGTGTTTGAACATGGGCAGTGCTGGATGCTTGCTGGCATGCCCAAATTACTAGAGATCAAATCCACATTTAAGACTTACCTGCACTCCCAGGTCTTACCAATCTAAAATGGCCTGGAGAGTAATGGTGTCCTACATAATGCTGACCGCATAATCAAATGCCAATTTGTCTATGAAAAATATGGATCTAGCAATGTATGCTCAGATGTACAAAAGATGTAAATATAATGTCCTTTACTACTGTATATGTAACCTAACTGTACTATATTTATAGAATTTAAACAGACATATTCAAGTACATTTAATTTCCCAGTAATTTAACTGACAGTTCAAAAGATGAACACATGGACTATGAGACAAAAGTGTATGTACAAATAAATACATACTGCATGCACTACCAGTTATCTGCAAACAAATATTACAGAAACACCATGCACATGCATAAACATCAGACAGTAGCAGACCACTTACCATCATATCAGACTGTTTATTGGCTTTGAAATAAAGAACATTACTGTGCTCATCTGTCTTCTCTGACTGTTGGGCTTTAAGGTTCATGCACATCACTATACCCACTAGTGATAAGCAAATCGCTGTTTGCTTTAAATCCATCTAAATTGTTGTTTGTAAGGAAAAAAATATACATTGTTAAGTTCACACCGCATAACAATATAAATCACTTCAAGTTTAGTCAGAAGAAAAGCATATTCACAATAAAGTGTTCAAACAAGGAAGGGGAAAAAACCTTTATTCAGGACGGATGTTGGCATGCAGGGGCATTGAACCACACCAAGTGGTGCACCAGAACCAGGGCTACCACTGGTCAAGAGCTAGCTACATGTCTCTGTGGTCATCCTAGAAACAGTTTCACAGTCAGGTGCCTGGCTACGCAGATAGGATCAACATTGCCTTTGAAGTCAGAGTACATCTGTCTGAGACAAGGAACCAAGTCAGCATACACATAAGCCAGATCTATAAAACTAATGTCAAGCAACACTCGAGTCAAGGAACAAGACCAAAGTCCAGAGGTGGATGAAAA